AACAAGAAAAATATATAAAAAATAATAGAATAATAATAACAATAATAAAATAACAATAATAATAATAATAATAATGATGATGATGGATTATTATATATAAAATGATCTACTACTTTACTACTACTACTAACTACTACTACACTAGTAATAGTAATAATAAAAATAGTAATAATAATAATAATAGTAATAATGGTAATAATAATAGACGAAGACGAGAAACGAGACGGAAAGGACACGCTGACGGACAAGCGCAGACGAGGCATTCCTTCCGCCCCGAAGCCGCCCCCCCATCAGCATTCATCCTCCGACGCGAATCCTTCTCCTCATTTCTCTCTTTCTCATTTCTTCCTTGCCAATTGCTCTCCTTTTCATCGTCCGGGCTGCTCGCTGGACGCCCGAAAATCCCTTGAGTTCCTATCTCTCTCTCTCTCTCTCTTTCTCTCTTTCTCTCTCTCTTCTCTCGCTCTCTACTTCTTCATCTCTGTTCTCATCTCTTCTCTCTCTCTTCTCGTGCTCTCTTTCTCTCCTCTTCTCAGCCATCAGTTCATCTCTCTCCCGTCTCTATGCGGCGTATACCTCATCTTCTCATTACATCGTGTCTCTCTTCTCAGCATTCTCTCTCTCTCTATCTCCTCTTCCCTCTCCACTCTCTTCATCTCTCATCTCTATCTCCTCTCCTTCTCGTCTGTGATCCTCTCTTCCTTCCATCATCAGCCTCTTCTCCTCCTCTCCTCTATTTCTCTTCTCTCTCTCTCTCTTCCTCTCATCTCTTTTCTTCTTCTTTTTTTTCTCTTCTCTCTTCATTCTTTTCTCCCTTCCTTTTTTCTTTTTTCTTTCTTCTCTTTCTTTTTCTCTCCTCTCCCTCTTTTCCTTCTTTCTTCTCTCTTTTCTCTTCTTTTTATTTTTTTTTTTTTTTTTCACTTCACTCATCTCTTTTGTATCCTCTCTCTCTCCTCGTCTTCTCTCGGCCACAGGGCTCCCTCTCGGAGTCATGAACATAAGCGAATCCGTCAGGTACTCATACGCTCTCGAATAAGAATAATCCTCCGTCTCTCTCTCTCTTGCGGGTCATCTCTCTCATCTCTCTCTCTCTCTGTAATTCATCTGTCTCTCGTCCCCTCTCCCTCTCTCTCTCTCTCTCTCTCTCTCTTGTGCCGCTTGGTTGATCTAGATCATGGCGTTAATGAATCGATTTTAAAATGTTTTTACTTTTTTGTTTGTTTCTTTTTGGTTTAGGTTATGAGAGAGTCGATTTTTCTTCTTCCTTTCTTTCTTCTTTCTGTATCTCTATTTTCCTTACTTTCATTATTTGTCTTTGATCTTTTCTCTTCTTCTCTTCCAATTCTCTTTTATTGATTATCTCTTCTCTTTCTCCTCCGGTATTTCCTGCTGTTCTTCTTCATCCTCTTGTCTCCTTTTCCTGTCTTTCCTCTTCTTCATCATCTCATTCTTTTCATTTATCTTTCTCCTTTTCCTCATCTACATCTTCACTGCTTCCTGCCTTTTAATCATGTCTCTTTACTCCTTTTCTTCTCTATACCTCGTCCTCTTCTTCTTATCTCTTTACTTTACTCTTTCTCTCCTACTTCCATCTTTTCTTTGTCTTCCCCTTAAATATATTCATTTTTTTCCGTCTTGCGATTAAACCTTCCTATTGCACACCATTCACATAGATTTGTTTTTGTTTTATATTTGCAATTAGTAATTTCATTTTCTTAGAACATAAGCCTTTTTGGGACATGATTCCAGATTCGATGGCCCCATAAGTCACCACATTGCAAGCAGAGCCACATTTTCCCAGCAGTAAATCGTTATATCAGGCGAAGCTCAATTGCACTGCATCTCCGTGTCTCTCCTTCCTTGCTTAGAGATTGCAAAAAAAAATCATCTTCATTCTTTTGATGTTTTTATTCCAGTTTTCTTTTCTCTGTAACTCTTAGTATGTTTTCTTTTCTTTTCTTTTCTTTTTTTTTCTTTTTGGCATAGATCTTTGGTGCTTTTATCATATTTTATCTGATTTATCAACATTATTTCTTTGCTTGGAAGTTGAGGATTTTCTCCGATGTATCTCCAATGCTGCGTATTCCTTCCCTTATCAAACGAATAAAACTTCTTATTTCGCCTATCCTTCTAGCCATGCACTTCGTATGCAAATCGGCAATATGTCTCCGCCAACATGTGCTTGAGTGCGCTATTTGCGGGAGGGTCGTCTGTCGCGCCTCCAGTCCAGGGCAGTTGGAATGAACAATGAGTGCTGAACTTTTGCGCGTAAATAACAATGTGTGAATGTTGAGACTGAGGTGTGGATATGCTTATTTATATATGCATGTATGTATATATTAATACATGTATGTATTTATGTATCTATGTATGTTTGTAGGAATATAGTATGTTGTGTGTGTGTGTGTGTATGTAAGTAGGTATACAGTACATATGTGTGTATGCGTAAATACATACATACATACATATATATATATATATATATATATATATATATATATATATATATATTATATATATATATATATATATATATATATATATATATACATATGTACTGTATACCTACTTACATACATAGATACATGCCCACATACATATATTAAAAACACACGCATGTATATATACATATACATATACATACACATACACACACAACACCCATACACACACATACACACACACACACACACACACACAAATATATATATATAATATATATATATATATATATAATATATATATATATATATATATATATATATATATTTTTTTTTTTTTTTTTTTTTTTTTTTTTTTTTTTTTTTTATCTGTCTGTCTATCAATCCAACTATCTAATCTATCTAATCTATCCGTCTCGTACCAACAAGCGACTTACCAACGGAGTGGATCTTGTCCTGGTCGGAGATGATGTCCAGCAGCTTCCTGATCCGGGACTTCCTGACGTGGTGGCCGGCCGTGCACGTGGCCAGCTGCGCGAAGGCCACCTCGAGTCCACTCCCCTCCTGGTGCTCCACCATGGCTGAGGAAACAAGGGCGGTCAACGTGGGCGGCGCTTCGGAGGACTATGAGGATAGAGGGAACAGTACGTTTTAGTAATCGGAATTATGATGAGGATGATAATGGTGATCCTAATGATAGTGAAGAAATGAAGAAAAAGGATATGGATAAGAATAGAGAAAGATAGAGAAAAGGATGGATAGATATAGAGAGAAAGATGGAGATAGATTAGAGAGATATTGGACGATAGAGAGATAAAAGAGAGAGAGAGGAGAGAGGAGAGAGAGAGAGAGAGAGAGAGAGGAGAGAGAGAGAGAGAGAGAGAGAGAGAGAGAGAGAGAGAGAGAGAGAGAGAGAGAGAGAGAGAGAGAGAGAGAGAGAAAGAAAGAAAGAAAGAAAGAAAGAGAGAAAGGGACATAATTCCCTCAATGCCTGATCTGGTCTCACCGAGCTCATCAAAGGAGCTGGACTGGAGCGCAAAATCCTCAGGCCAGAAAAAGGACAAGTTTGCGACGCTTTCAGAGGGACTCGGGATCCAAGGAATTAATTTTCCTGTTTGGAAGCGGAAGGGAAAAGTCGCGAGGACGAAGGGGAAGAAAGGTGGAACCGGTAGGGAGCGAACCGCCAAAGGACGAGAGAAACAACAGATTAAAAGATAGGGAGAGAGGAAGAGGGAGAGAGAGGGAGAGACAAAGATAAAGAGATGGAGGAAAGGACGAAAGAGGAGAATGGAGGAGAGATATTGATGGAAAGGTATGCTAGTTGATAGAGAAATAGATGGGTAGATAGACATATATAGAGCCAGATACCGGAGAAGAGAATTGAGGAGAAAGAGAGAAGAAAGAGAAGATACAGATGAACAAGTGGATAGATAGATAGATAGATAGACAGAGGGAGAATTTGAGTATAATTTTGGAAGAAGATAACTCTAATACCTATCTATCTACACACACACAGAAAGGGAGAGAGAAGTGAGAGAGAGAAGAGAAAGAGAAGAGAGAGAGAGAGAGAGAGAGAGAGAGAGAGAGAAGAGAGAGAAGAGAGAGAGAGAGAGAGAGAGAGAGAGAGAGAGAGGAGAGAGAGAGAGAGATTAGAGAGAGGAGAGAAGAGAGAGAGAGAGAGAGAGAGAGAGAGAGAGAAGAGAGAAGAGAGAGGAGAAAGAGAGAGAGAGAGAGAGAGAGAGAGAGAGACAGAGAGAGAGAGAGATAGAGAGAGAGAGAGAGAAGTTAGAGAGAGAGAGACAGAGAGAGAGAACAGAGAGAGAGAGAAAGAGGGAGAGAGAGAGAGAGAGAGAGAGAGAGAATTAGAGAGAGAGAGAAGGGAGAAAGAGAGAGAGAGAGAGAGAGAGAGAAGAAGATAAGAGATAGAGAGAGAAAGAAAGCCGAAAAAAGAGAATGAGAGACGGATCCTGACTTCTCTTAATGAAAAAAGTTTCGCCTCGAATCGCACTGAGCCAAGGGAGTCAGCCTCGGCAAGTCTTCTCTGATTAAGGAAACTTTTCTCGCCGTTGCATGCTATATCAAGTAGCGAATAAACGCGTAGATTGCCAGCGTAACTAAATGAAAGGGGGAGGCAGGCGCGGGTAACTTAAAGGTTGTACATGTTGTTTCGAGCTGATATAACTTGGTTTATTAAGTGTACAACTTTTGCAGTTGCATTGGTGTGGGTGTTGGGATAAGCTTTTGGGGTTTCGAGGGGAAATAACGGAGTTGAATATAAAGGGTAGATAGAAAGTAAGAGAGAGAGAGAGAAAAGATAATATAGCCGGCCCGACACATTTGGACGAAAAAGAAATCAAGGTAAAAAAAAAGAAGCGAGTCAGAAATATAGCTGAGACATTAAATTAATCTGAAGATCAGTATTTAAACAGATGAAAAAAAAGGAAGAAAAACGACGACATCACACAGATAAAAAATCAAAAACCATGTGAACAATATACGCAACAAGGGACCTCCCCCGCAAAAGCATGCCTAAAAACCATTCTACAAGGTTCGGGGATT